AGAATTTAAGTATTTGGGGCTATGGTTTGATGAAAAGCTTACATGGAGACATCATATTACATGTATTGAGACTAAATGTAAGAAAGTATTACATTTACATTTTACATTTTAGTCATTTAGCAGACGCTCTTATCCAGAGGTAGAAGGATTACTTTATCCTATCCCAGGTATTCCTTAAAGAGGTGGGGTTTCAAATGTCTCCGGAAGGTGGTGAGTGACTCCGCTGTCCTGGCGTCGTGAGGGAGCTTGTTCCACCATTGGGGTGCCAGAGCAGCGAACAGTTTTGACTGGGCTGAGCGGGAACTATGCTTCCGCAGAGGAAGGGGAGCCAGCAGGCCAGAGGTGGATGAACGCAATGCCCTCGTTTGGGTGTAGGGACTGATCAGAGCCTGAAGGTACGGAGGTGCCGTTCCCCTCACTGCTCCATAGGCAAGCACCATGGTCTTGTAACGGATGCGAGCTTCAACTGGAAGCCAGTGGAGTGTGCGGAGGAGGGGGGTGACGTGAGAGAACTTGGGAAGGTTGAACACCAGACGGGCTGCGGCATTCTGGATGAGTTGTAGGGGTTTAATGGCACAGGCAGGGAGCCTAGCCAACAGCGAGTTGCAGTAATCCAGACGGGAGATGACAAGTGCCTGGATTAGGACCTGTGCCGCTTCCTGTGTAAGGCAGGGTCGTACTCTCCGAATGTTGTAGAGCATGAACCTGCAGGATCGGTTCACCGCCTTGATGTTAGCGGAGAACGACAGGGTGTTGTCCAGGGTCACGCCAAGGCTCTTCGCACTCTGGGAGGAGGACACAACGGAGTTGTCAACCGTGATGGCGAGATCATGGAACGGGCAGTCCTTCCCCGGGAGGAAGAGCAGCTCCGTCTTGCCAGGGTTCAGCTTGAGGTGGTGATCCGTCATCCATACTGATATGTCTGCCAGACATGCAGAGATGCGATTCGCCACCTGGTTATCAGAAGGGGGAAAGGAGAAGATTAGTTGTGTATCGTCAGCGTAGCAATGATAGGAGAGGCCATGAGAGGATATGACAGAGCCAAGTGACTTGGTGTATAGGGAGAAAAGGAGAGGGCCTAGAACTGAGCCCTGGGGGACACCAGTGGTGAGAGCACGTGGTGCGGAGACAGCTTCTCGCCACGCCACTTGGTAGGAGCGACCGGTCAGGTAGGACGCAATCCAGGAGTGAGCCGTGCCGGAGATGCCCAGCTCGGAGAGGGTGGAGAGGAGGATCTGATGGTTCACAGTATCAAAGGCAGCAGACAGGTCTAGAAGGACAAGAGCAGAGGAGAGAGAGTTAGCTTTAGCAGTGCGGAGAGCCTCCATGACACAGAGAAGAGCAGTCTCAGTTGAATGACCAGTCCTGAAACCTGACTGGTTTGGATTACATCTTATGAGGACAATAGTTGGTCATGATTGGGTGGCAGTTTTTACTGAATATTTATCGTACTTTGATGAGATCGTCCATAGATTATGGGTACTTTGTAGTTCTGCGGCTTTTACATTGCTGTTGTGCCTTGATAGGATGCAAGTGAGGGCACTCAGGATGTGCGATGGTGCATTTAAAACCACACAGGTTGAGGCTTTACAAGTAGATACTGGGGAAATGCCACTATCCCTTAGAAGAGTTAAGCTAGCCCTGGCATACTGGGCAAGACTGAAGGGTAGTACGGTAAATCATCATACATTGACAGTATTGGAAGACTGTTGGGAATATGAACAATATCAAGAGGGGTTTTGGCCCAGAGATTGGAAAAAGGGTTGATGAATATGCACAGAGATATTGGTATAGGGCCATCTGTGGCAATAGGAAATGTGCCACCGTGGTTTTATACAAGACCACATGTTGATCTTAGCCTGATAGAAGAAATTAAACAGTAGGGTGAAGAAGATAATGTAGGAACAATAGTGGATCAATATATTAGTAATCAGTTTTACTTGTCTTGCAGTGTATACAGATGGTTCAAAGGATCCCATGAATGGGAAGACAGGAGCAGGTATTACTTACTCCTGAGTTTGATGTTAATCTATGCAAGAGACTAACTAATGATTTATCTGTATAATCAACAGAAATGGTTGTGATAATTGTTGAATTGCAATGGATAGAGGAGGTGCAACCAAGAAGAGTAGTAATATGTTCAGACTCTGCATCAGTTTTGTGTAGTTTAAGATCTGGAAAGTCAGAATGTGAGGATTTATGGTTAAAAATAATGACGGTGTTGTTAGGGTTACAAAGAAATGGTATTGAAATTCAGTTCGGTTGGATTCCGGCTCATACAGGTGTTTATGGAAATTATATAGTAGATATAATAGCAATAAGAGCAGTGAAAAATAATATTGTGGATATTCGGGTGCAGTTGGGTAGAGGGGAAATTAAAACATTGATTCTTGAAAAATGGGTTTGATTGCTGGCAGAGACAATGGGATAAAAGTAGTAAGGGCAGATATTTGTAAATCTGTACAGGAGATAGTGTTATATAGTGAGAAGAGAAGGGAAGAGGTTATGTTGTGTAAAATGAGATTATGGCATACGGGATTTAATTCATCTTTGAAATTGATAGGGAAACATGGAACTGGAATGTGTAATGGATGTATGGTAGAGGAAACGGTTGAACATGTATTATTATTTTGTGAAATGTATGATGTAGAAAGGGAGAGGTTGTTTGACAGGGTCAGAGAGGTTGGACGGGAATGGGGAGTGGGTGGTATTTTGCGTGGCGGTGATGTGAGTAGTGAGGTTTGTAGGGAATTATTTTATATTATTAGAAATTCCGGGTTAGTTAAGAGAATATAGTGGTATAGATAGGTCGTGACCGGCCTCACACTCCAGTACAGTAGGTGGCGGTGTATGCACCTGTCAGTTGGTTGCGATTCGCCAATAAAACTTAAAGAAGAAGGCGCTGCCCATGCTAAAGCGGGATTTTGTGCAGTAGCGTCCTCTATCTCTCTATGGAGCCGCTGCACATTGCACAACCGCATTGTTGTTTGGGAAAAGAAACCAGGGGCAGCTTGCTAGCTATTGATTATTAGCCAGTTGGAAAAGGACATTAGCTAGTATTTGGTGGCTTTTCCAAAATATTTATGTTTAAAATAGAATCGAATTTGGAATTTAGACAGTCGTCTTGGATACCTCTTGGTATCTTTCAAATTTATAATTCAAAGCTGCTCGAGCGGTGCCCGTTGGATGAGAGGATTGTGTGTGGATTTACTGCTGCTGCTCTGCGCAGGCCACTTCGGCGCCATTGCTTGCAAGCGCTGCTGTTTTCAAAAGCGGAATTACTGAAAATACAAAGGTAGGTATAGACACATTTCCTTTGCACACACATACACATGCATTTCAGACAGACCTAAAAGCATTTATACAAATGGATTCTACATGCTAGTGGGGAAAATAATAACTTTAACGAATCGACTCGGATTCTTGTTTAGTCCGACGTCATATTTCCCTCTTGGCGTATTGTGAACGAACTGTCCTAGCTAGCTAACTCTTTGGTAAGTGATATCGCTGGCGCTGTGTTTTTACGGGATTTCCCTCTCCTGGCTTCATATAAATATATTATATTTATGCCTGGCTCAACGTTCAACAAATTCTGAAGCTAACGTTAGGTAGCTACCGCGTTAGCTCTGAATCTAGTTAACTTGCTAGCTAGTTGGCCACAAACTGACTTTACGCTAAATTAGCCTAGCAAACGTTAGCCAGTTAACTAACTTCTAGCCTAATAGCAAAGGCACCATTACGTTAAAGTAGCTAGCTAGTTGTGTTTAAGTAGCTAGCACAATTTAGCAGTGCCAAGCTAGTTAACTAACATTAGCTAGCTACTTTATTATTATATTATTATTACTAGCTAGATCTTTTTCGCTGACAGTTGACTAGCCAGGCTAGCTACATGGTTGCCTAATTAGACTGTGATACCAATTATTGGTATAGTCTGAAACAAAGCGCAAAAACTTGTCAAGTGTTCAAAAAAGCCTGAATGTTGACTACAATTACGGTTGAACTTACTGTACCGGTTGTCTGTGTGTTTGGTCCTTCATCTGGTCGAAATTTGAGACAAAATATCCACAGGTAATTATTATTTACCCGACTTTTTATTACGCAGGTACTCCCATTTAAATTTCTGGCACAAACGAAAAACCATGTAAACACCTGCAAGACTTGGGTTAGTATGGATGCATCACTTGTATGTACTTCCGTCTTGTGCACGTGCCTTAGGTCATGAGCAAACATCTTTATTTCCGCATACAGAGACCCACATGTTTACATTTTAGTCATTTAGCAGACGCTCTTATCCAGAGCGACTTACAGTTAGTGAGTGCATACATTTTTCATACTGGCTCCCCGTGGGAATCGAACCCACAACCCTGGCGTTGCAAGCGCCATGCTCTACCAACTGAGCTACATGTTGTAACGTTAGTCGGTTTAATAATACTTCCCTGTGGATATTTTGTCAAAAATTTCGACCAGCTGAAGGACCAACCCCACGGACAATCAATCGTCAGAGTAAGTTCAAATAATTTTATTCAGCATTCATGACAGACAAGGGACATTTAGTTTTTTCTTCATCTATGTAAATGTACATGGTTATGCTGTACACCAGGGTTTCCCAACCCTCTCCTCGGCCCCCCCAGACGTTTCACATTTTTGTTTGACATTTTAGTCATTTAGCAGACGCTCTTATCCAGAGCGACTTACAGTTAGTGAGTGCATACATTTTTCATACTGGCCCCCCGTGCTGTACATTTTACATTTACATTTTGGAAAGCATCACCACATTCGGGACTAGCTATGCTGCACAATGGAAGCATCGCCACATTCGAGACTAGGCCTAGTCTTGTTAATGAAGAGCCTTATTTTATGTCCACTCATCAGAATAGTAGACTTAACTGAGAAAGGGAAATTGTGGCTGGATAATGATTTATTACAATCTTGGTTGGTATTGGCCTAGGTGAAATTTCAATCAAATCGTTTTTTTGTTGCAGTTTCTTTAGGTCTTCAAGATGAAGAAAAAAGTGCGGCATCATAATCGCATGTCCACGCCCCAGAGGCCCTCCTCGCCCATCAAACCTTCACCGAACAAGGAGACCCTGACCTACGCCCAGGCCCAGCGCATGGTGGACCTGGAGATAGATGGCCGCGTGCACAGGATCAGCATATATGATAAGTTGGACGTCATCACCGACGATGACCCCACGGCCCAAGAGATCATGGAGTGCAACAGCAACAAGGAGAACAACGAGAAGCCCCAGCTAGTCCTGGTGCGCTCGGTGAGGCTCAAAGACAACCAGCAGAAGAGGAACACTGCCCTCACCACCACGCACGGAGCTGCCCCGCAAGGGAGTGCCCTCTTGGAACCCAAGTTTCGCACTGTGGAGTACAACCTTCCCGCGGTGTCTCGGAGGCCCTCCATCTATTATAAGTTTTGTGAGAAGACTGCTGAAGAGCTGGATGAGGAGGTGGAATACGACATGGATGAGGAGGATTACGCCTGGCTGGATCTGCTCAACGACAAGAGGAAAAGTGAGGGCGTCAGCCAGGTGTCCCAGAACCTCTTTGAGTTCCTTATGGACCGCTTTGAGAAGGAGTCCTTCTTTGACAGCCAGGGTCGGAGTGACCCCCAGTCCCTCATCGACGAGGACGCTGTCTGCTGCATCTGCATGGACGGAGATGGCCAGGACAGCAATGTCATCCTCTTCTGTGACTCCTGCAACATGGCCGTGCACCAGGAGTGCTACGGTGTTCCCTACATCCCAGAGGGCCAGTGGCTGTGTCGCCACTGCCTCCAGTGCCCCTCACGGCCCGCTGAGTGTGTCTTCTGCCCGAACAAGGGCGGCGCCCTGAAGAAGACTGATGACGACCGCTGGGGCCACGTGGTGTGTGCCCTGTGGGTGCCAGAGGTGGGCTTCTCTGACACGGTCTTCATCGAGCCCATCGACGGCGTCAGCAATATTCCGCCCGCCCGCTGGAAGCTCACCTGCTATCTCTGCAAGGAGAAGGGTGCCGGGGCCTGCATCCAGTGTCACAAGGTTAACTGTTACACAGCCTTCCACGTCAGCTGTGCCCAAAAGGCCGGCCTCTACATGAAAATGGAGCCTGTCAAGGAATTCACAGAGACCGGTTCGCCCACTTTCTCTGTGAAGAAGACAGCCTTCTGCTCCGCTCACACTCCTAAAGGGTGCACCTGGAGACCCCTCGCCATCTACGAGGAAGGCCATGCTAAAAACGGTGTCTGTCACAAGAGGGGTGACAAAAGAGGGAGGAGGAGGTTAAAAGGGTGGCTGAAGAAGAATAAGACAGTAGTGGTGGTGCCTGAGGTAAAGGAAGAAGCTCCCGCTGCGCCTGGGCCTAGTATAACCCCCAGCAGGTAGGCATATTATTTTTACTTCATTTGTCTACCAACCAAATGTTTCTAAATATTTTCCTAAATTACAAACCTCCCAATTGATGGGTGAAATAGGCATTCAAAAGAATAATCCTGCGTCTGACCAATGCTAACATACATACCCTCCCCCCCTCAGTTTCGACACGATCCTCAATCAAGTGTCTGTCCAGAAGAAGAAGGCGTTTGTGGAGCGGGTCCTGAGCTACTGGATGCAGAAGAGACAGTCGAGGAACGGCGTTCCACTGATCAGGCGGCTACAGGCCAACCCCCAGTCCCCCAAACCAGAGCAGCTGGTCAGTCCAGTGGTCAGTCTAATTGTTCATTAACTTTCATGACATTTCTTGTGTTTTAAAACCTTTCTCAGATGCTCGAAAATCAAAAATAAAGCAGGCTAATAATTGATTTGATAAAGATGAGAAGTTTCCTGTGTCTAGGCCTTTTTCTCAAACGTCTTTAGATTATAGTAGTATTTTATTAGGGTCCAAACAGGAAACCAAACACAACAAATAAAATGCATAATATACATGACACTACATAATATAATACATATATAAATTGAGATGGGCCATTTATTCATTTCAGTATAGACTATAAAAAAAGAGAAGAAATGTAATTAAAATTAGCCTAGTTTATTTTAGTCAGAGCCATATTAAAAATGGCTCACAGCCAGTGTGCATAGAAGGTAGCTCCTTGTCATTTTCTGCCCCCATTACCTGAGATTGATGTCTTGTGAATGTACATTAAAATGCCTTTTTGAACTCTGATGTTACAGGACAGCAGGGTGGAGGATAATCAAGCGATGAAGGAGCAGCTAAAGGAATGGCACCGCCTACGCCAAGACCTGGAGCGAGCTCGCCTATTGCTAGAACTGATCAGGAAGAGGGAGAAGCTAAAGAGAGAGGAGGTACAGAGAATTGGTTTTCTTAGTTTCCACAGTAGTGAAATAAGAATGTTTGTGACATCATATCAATGGATAGTTGTGTGAGCCCTCCTATAAGTAAAATGTGGTAAAAATAATTTCCTCTCCTTTCGAAAGAATCTGTGACCATGTTTCAATCTACAGATTTTATGCGAGTAAAGTCATACTGCATAAAATCAAGTAAAATTCACGACAGCTGTGATGGAAACAGGTTTCAGTACAATGTTATAAATACAGACAGATAATTTGTTCGTTCGACATGGTGGGATCTTTTTGTCTGTAAAATTATTTATGTGAGAAATGGCGGTGGAAACGCGTTTTTATGTACAAATATTGATATAAAAACCATCATATCGAAGTAAACTTGGAGTCACGCGATACTATGGTGTGTGGTTCTCCCACTACAACTTGAGAAACCATGCAGTTTACTAGGCTACAGATGAAATAAGTTACGATGAAATTCACAGGGTGGTGAAAGTGCACAGTGCTCTTGATGCTCCTTTCCAATAAATATCGAGGGTCTTATTCTGGTGACATAATGATTGATGCTTGACTGCTGTTTGACAAATAAAAATTATTCTTGCTCATATCCATTCTAATCTCATTATGTAGACTAGCCTACCCGCACAGCCTTCCTGCACTGTATCGGCGAGCTCTTGGCTAGAGCGCACGTGCCAAAACCAGAGAAGGCACATTTGCTATATAACGCAACAGTTTTTGTGACAAAACTATCGGTAGAGTTAAATGCGATGGAAACGCATTGAACTTTAGATTTGTATTTGGCACATGAAAACATACATTTTGTGTGCACTACATCATCACACGCTGATTGTTATCCTCAACAAGTCTGTTTGGTGGAAACACACCACTGGTGGGAAAATTCGCATATTTTCTTTATGCATATTTTTGAATATTTGCATGGAAATCTGTCGCCAGTTGGATGGAAACCTAGCTTGTGTTGTTAAAACGGTTTTAGGATTGGTTTTTGGAAGCCTTAGTAAATATTAGTATACTGCTACAGCTTTGTGTTCTGTCCTGTCCCCATTCAGATGAAGCTCCAACAGTCCGTTCTGGAGGTACAGCTCACACCTTTAAACATTCTACTTCGAGCCGTACTGGACCAGCTTCAGGAGAAGGACGCAGCCAAGATCTTTGCCCAGCCTGTCAGCGTTAAAGAGGTAAGGTCCCCCACACCCCACAATAGAATGTTACTTTCACAAATTGAAAAAAAAATGCCTATATATTTCTATTTCATTCTTTGGGTACCCTTTCTTTCAGCATCATGTTTTGTTTGCCATCTCCCCATCCCTCTCAGGTGCCTGACTACTTGGACCACATCAAGAAGCCAATGGACTTCTCCACCATGAGGAAGCGCATTGATGCCCACGGCTACAAGAGCCTGGAGGAGTTTGAGGCTGACTTCGACCAGATCATATTCAACTGCATGAAGTACAACGCCAAGGACACGTTCTTCCATAAAGCCGCTCTGCGTCTGCAAGACCGAGGCGGGGCCATCCTCCGGAAGACTCGTCGGGAGGCTGAGCGACTCGGCTTTGACTTTGCCAGCGGGATGCACCTTCCTGAGCAACCCAAGGTGGAGGCTCCTCCCCCTTTCTCCTGGGACGATGGTAAGAACATGGTCTACATATGTTTACTTCTATATTAATCTGTCCACAGCCAAATCAAGTAAAGACCCTTTGCTGAATCCAACAATTTTTTTTTATTTTTTATTTCACCTTTATTTAACCAGGTAAGCCAGTTGAGAACAGGTTCTCATTTACAACTGCGACCTGGCCAAGATAAAGCAAAGTAGTGCAATAAAAACAACACAGAGTTACATATGGGGTAATAAAAAAAACATAAAGTCAGAAATACAACAGAAAATATATATACAGTGTGTGCAAATGTAGCAAGTTATGGAGGTAAGGCAATAAATAGGCTATAGTGCAGAATAATTACAATAGTATTAACACTGGAATGCTAGATGTGCAAGAGATTATGTGCAAATAGAGATACTGGGGTGCAAAAGAGCAAAATAAATAACAATATAGGGATGAGGTAGTTGGGTGGGCTAATTTCAGATGGGCTGTGTACAGGTGCAGTGATCGGTAAGGTGCTCTGACAACTGATGCTTAAAGTTATTGAGGGAGATAAGAGTCTCCAGCTTCAGAGATTTTTGCAATTCGTTCCAGTCATTGGCAGCAGAGAACTGGAAGGAATGGCGGCCAAAGGAGGTGTTGGCTTTGGGAATGACCAGAGAGATATACCTGCTGGAGCGCAGACTACGGGTGGGTGCTGCTATGGTGACCAATGAGCTAAGATAAGGCGGGGATTTGCCTAGCAGTGATTTATAGATGGCCTGGAGCCAGTGGGTTTGACGACGAACATGTAGTGAGGACCAGCCAACAAGAGCGTACAGGTCACAGTGGTGGGTAGTGTATGGGGCTTTGGAGACAAAACGGATGGCACTGTGATAGACTACATCCAATTTGCTGAGTAGAGTGTTGGAGGCTATTTTGTAAATGACATCGCCGAAGTCAAGGATCGGTAGGATAGTCAGTTTTACGAGGGCATGTTTGGCAGCATGAGTGAAGGAGGCTTTGTTGCGAAATAGGAAGCCAATTCTAGATTTAACTTTGGATTGGAGATTCTTTATGTGAGTCTGGAAGTTGAGTTTACAGTCTAACCAGACACCTAGATATTTGTAGTTGTCCACATACTCTAGGTCAGACCCGTCGAGAGTGGTGATTCTAGTCGGGTGGGCGGGTGCTAGCAGCGTTCGATTGAAAAGCATGCATTTAGTTTTACTAGTGTTTAAGAGCAGTTGAAGGCTACTGAAGGATTGTTGTATGGCATTGAAGCTCGTTTGGAGGTTTGTTAACACAGTGTCCAATGAAGGGCCAGATATATACAAAATGGTGTCGTCTGCGTAGAGGTGGATCTGAGAGTCACCAGCAGCAAGAGCGACATCATTGATATACACGGAGAAAAGTGTTGGCCCAAGAATTGAACCCTGTGGCACCCCCATAGAGACTGCCATAGGTCCAGACAACAGGCCCTCCGATTTGACACACTGAACTCTATCTGAGAAGTAGTTGGTGAACCAGGCGAGGCAGTCATTTGAGAAACCAAGGCTATTTAGTCTGCCAATAAGAATGCGGTGGTTGACAGAGTCGAAAGCCTTGGCCAGGTCGATGAAGACGGCTGCACAGTACTGTCTATTATCAATCGCGGTTATAATATCGTTTAGGACCTTGAGCGTGGCTGAAGTGCACCCGTGACCAGCTCGGAAACCGGATTGCATAGCGGAGAAGGTACGGTGGTATTCGAAATGGTCGATGATCTGTTTGTTAACTTGGCTTTCGAATACTTTCGAAAGGCAGGGCAGGATGGATATAGGTCTGTAGCAGTTTGGATCTAGAGTGTCACCCCCTTTGAAGAGGGGGATGACCGCTGCAGCTTTCCAATCTCTGGGGATCTCAGACGTTATGAAAGAGAGGTTGAACAGACTAGTAATAGGGGTTGCGACAATTTCGGCGGCTAGTTTTAGAAAGAAAGGGTCCAGATTGTCTAGCCCAGCTGATTTGTAGGGGTCCAGATTTTGCAGCGCTTTCAAAACATCAGCTGTCTGAATTTGTGTGAAGGAGAAGCGGGGGGGGCATGGGCAAGTTGCAGCAGAGGGTGCAGAGTTGGTGGCCGGGTTAGTGGTAGCCAGATGGAAAGCATGGCCAGCTGTAGCAAAATGCTTGTTGAAATTCTCGATTATTGTAGATTTATCGGTGGTGATAGTGTTTCCTAGCCTCAGTGCAGTGGGCAGCTGGGAGGAAGTGCTCTTATTCTCCATGGACTTTACAGTGTCCCAAAACTTTTTGGAGTTAGTGCTACAGGATGCAAATTTCTGTTTGAAAAAGTTAGCCTTTGCTTTCCTGACTGCTTGTGTATATTGGTTCCTAACTTCCCTGAAAAGTTGCATATCGCGGGGGCTATTTGATGCTAATGCTGTACGCCACAGGATGTTTTTGTGCTGGTCAAGGGCAGTCAAGTCTGAGGAGAACCAGGGGCTATATCGGTTCTTAGTTCTGTATTTTTTGAATGGGGCATGTTTATTTAAGATTGAGAGGAAATTACTTTTAAGGAACAACCAGGCAACTATTGATTTATGGTACTGTAGCATTTCGGAATGGGGCCACAGCTGAGCTCAGCCAATCAAGTTGTTGTTTGTGTGTCTTGCAGTGGACCGGATACTAAACCCAGCCAACCGGCAGCACATGTCTTTGGAAGAGCAACTGAAAGAGCTGCTGGAGAAGCTGGACATGAGCAGTGCCATGAAGTCCAGTCCATCTCGCAGCAAGCGACTGAAGCTGCTCAAAAAGACCATCACAGATGTTCGCAGCTCAATAAACCTAAAGATGCGACGCCCCGCAACCACCCCCTCTGAACCGAAACCAGCAGAGACTGAGGAGAAACCACTGCCCCCCATTCGACACAGCACACAGGAAGATGGTACGTACCAGGTGGTCTAAAAGCAAATAATTGGTTAAATAATGCTTTCTCCTTGCTTTGATGTCTTATTTGATGAACTGTAGGCTATTAGCTAATGCTTGTCTATTCCACAAGTCAGGATGTTTTCATTTCCTACTGTGATTCTGTTTTGATTGTATAGGAGGCGAGTCTTTGCCCCCACCGAAACTAGAGCCGTTGAACTTGTCGCCGCCACTTGTCAACTCAGACAGTCATTCAGAACCTCCCATGCTCAAGCCCATCAAATCCAATGCGGACAAGAGCCAGAAGACCTCCAAGTGCAACGGTGTCAAGACCGCTACCTCAGTACCCCGGGAAACTCTCAACGGGCACATCTCTAACCCGCTTGTCCCCGACAGTCACCTCAGTGTCGTGGCCACCTCCACGCTCGCAGAGCCCTCTAGCACGGGCAACAGGCGAACCAACGTGCTCTTTCGCAAGTCCAAGAATGCCAGCCCGCAGAAACCCCCAAGGACAGCTGAGCACCCGCTCGGCTCCCCGCTGCTGGGCACTAAAACCTTCCTCTCTGTGGTCATTCCTCGCTTGGAGACTCTCCTCCTACCCAGGAAGAGGACCCACAGTGCCTGTGGAGACTGTGACCAGGATGAGGAGGAATCCCCCATCAAGCGCCTTGACACAGGTAAAGCCCAGTGTAAAATCAAAATATCACGTTTTTTGCATGCAAAATGTTGTCGTATTGGAGATGCAAGATTGTGTGTAGACCATTAGTTTTTTCTTGTCTCCAGGACTAGCTAACGGCTTTGTCGTCGAGCCGGAGTGTGAAGCCAGTCCCATTAGGCCACTGGAGCCTCGCAGGCGCTGCACCTCTGAGTCCAGCATCTCCCCTAGCGGCAGCGTGCTGTGTACGACCAGGTATGCTTGTTGACACCTCAGCACATTAGTAATAATTCAGCCTCTCTCTGCCGGCAGCACTCTACTGTGTAACACCAGGTACAGGATTAGCAGTGCGCCTACATCACAGTGCCATGTTAGCATTTATATCCAGCGTATGCTCTAAGAGCCATTTGTGGTAGAAGGCAGGATGTTGCACTCCACTACTGGCACATTAGCTTCCCCTGTTTCCCTTTGTTTCCTGCAGCACGGTCAGTGTGCCGAAAAGTGGGAAAGGAAGGCCATCCATGGCACGTAGGAGCACAGTGGACGACAAAAACGCACTCATCACCTGTATCGAAAATGGGGACTTCACCAAAGCCTCTAAGATTGCAGCAGGTGAGACACTGGTTCTTAGCACAAACACACTTTCAGGAGATAAAGGCCAGGAGGGATTTACATTATGAATGATGCATGTATCCATTTTTGTGGTAGCGGTCTAACATTTCTTTCTGGAATAGCTAACAAAGTCCTCTGCCATTGCCCTGTCACCGAAAGCTTATTCGTATTAGTTTATTTGTAGTTTTATTCTGAGAGTAATTTGGAATTCTACCATTTTTCCAAAAATGTATTGGCCAGTAAACATCAAGGAATCCTGTGCATGAATTAGCTTCCAATGAACCGCAAGTCTCAGCTTAGGCAAGTAGAGGGTAGCCTGAAATCCAGACCTGTTTTTCTGTTAACATTCCACTATATGTACTCCTTGTCATATGCCAAACATTTGTTTAGCATGACAAGGAGTGGCAAGGATTGGAATGTTAGCACAACAGACTGGTACCCAGGCTAAGTAGAGGGGCTTTTTTTGTCCTGACTTGGCCTGACTGGTAAACAAGTTCTAAGATTTGTAGTATATAAACTCAGCAAAAAAAGAAATGTCCTCTCACTGTGAACTGTGTTTATTTTCAGCAAACTTAACATGTGTAAATATTTGTATGAACATAACAAGATTCAACAACTGAGACATTAACTGAATAGGTTCCACAGACATGTGACTAACAGAAATTGAATAATGTGTCCCTGAACAAAGGAGGGAGGGGGGTCAAAATCAAAAGTAACAGTCAGTATCTGGTGTGGCCACCAGCTGCATTAAGTACTGCAGTGCACCTCCTCCTCATGGACTACACCAGATTTGCCAGTTCTTGCTGTGAGATGTTACCCCGCTCTTCCACCAAGGCACCTACAAGTTCCCAGACTTTTCTGGGGGTAATGGCCCTAGCCCTCACCCTCCGATCCAACAGGTCCCAGACGTGCTCAATGGGATTGAGATCCGGGCTCTTCACTGGCCATGGCAAAACACTGACATTCCTGTCTTGCAGGAAATCACGAACAGAACGAGCAGTATGGCTAGTGGCATTGTCATGTCAGGATGAGCCTGCAGGAAGGGTACCACATGAGGGAGGAGGATGTCTTCCCTGTAACGCACAGCGTTGAGATTGCCTGCAATGACAACAAGCTCAGTCCGATGATGCTGTGACACACCGCCCCAGACCATGACCGACCCTCCACCTCCAACTCGATCCTGCTCCAGAGTACAGGCCTCAGTATAACGCTCATTCGTTCGACGATAAACACAAATCCGACCATCACCCCTGGTGAGACAAAACCGCGACTCGTCAGTGAAGAGCACTTTTTGCCAGTCCTGTCTGGGCCAGCGACGGTGGGTTTGTGCCCATAGCCGGTCATGTCTGGTGAGGACCTGCCTTTCAACAGGCCTACAAGCCCTCAGTCCAGCCTCTCTCAGCCTATTGCGGACAGTCAGTGCACTGATGGAGGGATTGTGCGTTCCTGGTTTAACTTGGGCAGTTGTTGTTGCCATCCTGTACCTGTCCCGATGGTGTGATGTTCGGATGTACCGATCCTGTGCAGGTGTTGTTACACATGGTCTGCCACTGCAAGGACGATCAGCTGTCCGTCCTGTCTCCCTGTAGTGGCATCTCACAGTACGGACATTGCAATTAATTGCCCTTGCCACATCTGCAGTCCTCATGCCTCCTTGCAGCATGCCTAAGGCACGTTCACGCAGATGAGCATGGACCCTGGGCATCTTTCTTTTGGTGTTTTTCAGACAGTAGAAAGGCCTCTAGTGTCCTAAGTTTTGATAACTGTGACCTTAATTGCCTACTGTCTGTAAGCTGTTAGTGTCTTAACGACCCTTCCACAGGTGCATGTTCATTAATTGTTTATGGTTCATTGAACAAGCATAGGAAACAGTGTTTAAACCCTTTACAATGAAGATCTGTGAAGTTATTTGGATTTTTACAAATTATATTTTTGTTGCTGAGTGTGTGTATATATACAGTGAGGAAAAAAGTATTTGATCCCCTGCTGATTTTGTACGTTTGCCCACTGACAAAAAAATGATCAGTCTAATTTTAATGGTAGATTTATTTGAACAGTGAGAGACAGAATAACAACAAACAAATCCAGAAAAACGCATGTCAAAAAAGTTATAAATTGATTTGCATTTTAATGAGGGAAATAAGTATTTGACCCCTCTGCAAAACATGACTTAGTACTTGGTGGCAAAACCCTTGTTGGCAATCACAGAGGTCAGACGTTTATTGTAGTTGTCCACCAGGTTTGCACACATCTCAGGAGGGATTTTGTCCCACTCCTCTTTGCAGATCTTCTCCAAGTCATTAAGGTTTCGAGGCTGACGTTTGGCAACTCGAACCTTCAGCTCCCTCCACAGATTTTCTAAGGGATTAAGGTCTGGAGACTGGCTAGGCCACTCCAGGACCTTAATGGGCTTCTTCTTGAGCCACTCCTTTGTTGCCTTGGCCGTGTGTTTTGGGTCATTGTCATGCTGGAATACCCATCCACGACCCATTTTCAATGCCCTGGCTGAGGGAAGGAGGTTCTCACCCAAGATTTGATGGTACATGGCCCCATCCATCGTCCCTTTGATGCGGTGAAGTTGTCCTGTCCCCTTAGCAGAAAAACACCCCCAAAGCATAATGTTTCCACCTCCATGTTTGACGGTGGGGAAGGTGTTCTTGGGGTCATAGGCAGCATTCCTCCTCCGCAAAACACGGCGAGTTGAGTTGATGCCAAAGAGCTCGATTTTGGTCTCATCTGACCACAACGCTTTCACCCAGTTCTCCTCTGAATCATTCAGATGTTCACTGGCAAACTTCAGATGGGCCTGTATATGTGCTTTCTTGAGCAGGGGGACCTTGCGTGCACTGCAGGATTTCAGTCCTTCACGGCGTAGTGTGTTACCAATTGTTTTCTTGGTGACTATGGTCCCAGCTGCCTTGAGATCATTGACAAGATCCTCCCGTGTAGTTCTGGGCTGATTCCTCACCATTCTCATGATCATTGCAACTCCACGAGGTGAGATCTTGCATGGAGCCCCAGGCCGAGGGAGATTGACAGATCTTTTGTGTTTCTTCCATTTGCGAATAATCGCACCAACTGTTGTCACCTTCTCACCAAGCTGTTTGGCAATGGTCGTGTAGCCCATTCCAGCCTAGTGTAGGTCTACAATCTTGTCCCTGACATCCTTGGAGAGCTCTTTGGTCTTGGCCATGGTGGAGAGTTTGGAATCTGATTTGATTTATTGCTTCTGTGGACAGGTGTCTTTTTATACAGGTAACAAACTGAGATTAGGAGCACTCCCTTTAAGAGTGTGCGCCTAATCTCAGCTCGTTACCTGTATAAAAGACACCTGAGAGCCAGAAATCTTTCTGATTGAGAGGGGGTCAAATACTAATTTCCCTCATTTAAAATGCAAATCAATTTATAACATTTTTGACATGCGTTTTCTGGATTTTTTTGTTGTTATTCTGTCTCTCACTGTTCAAATAAACCTACCATTAAAATTATAGACTGATCATGTCTTTGTCAGTGGGCAAACGTACAAAATCAGCAGGGGATCAAATACTTTTTTCCCTCACTGTATATATATTTATTGATTTAGACAGGAATGTGTGTTTGCCAGCATGTGTGTGTTCTTGGTAAGACTGCGTCTGAGCACGGAACATGAGTTTGTTTGACAGCAGACAGCTGAGACTCTCAGCGCACTGGGGCCATGGTTATGGTTGGGATTCTTTTATGTCCCAGTGGCCTGAGCTGACATGCCCCAAGGCAGCAATGGTCTCCCTGTCATCCTGTCCAGACTAATCAATCCCACTTCCTCTACATAATTCATCAGTTTTCGGTCGTCTTCTCCTCTCGGTCGCAAACTGCGGAATGGTTACCCTCTACATCGACCTTGTGTTATTTCATAATTCATACGACTAACACTGTATTTCACTGTTTTGATGCCCTGTAATATTTCCCTGTGTGTGAAAGTACATTCTTGTTTTTTGTGTGCTGGTGTTGTCTTTCCCTATCAGTGTGAGCATGGCTTTTAGAGTAGTATTCTTGTCTGTTTGCAGTGAACACCCCATAACTTGCTTGTCGTTATTCCTGCTTCCGTAGAAGTTGGCAACGGAAATATTTGGATGTCCGCTAGTGCTGAACCCCTTAAACTAGTTTGGGCAAAATGTAGTGGATATCCCTCCTACCCCGCCTTGGTGAGTGAGAGCATGTGTCCCAGAGACTGGCCATCTATATGTCTCATTTCCCATCCATTCGTCTCATCGTAAGTGGTGTAGCTGGTGTTTGTGCACGCCCTGCAGCTAGCTGCTCAGTTCCAATGTGTTGTGGATGGAATGTGTGTTAGGAGTCACTGAGGAGGAGTAACACAGATTGCTTAGAGCTTTCCGGGTGACTCGGGTAGCATGGCATCCGTGTGTGGTAGTGTGTTGTCAGTGTAATTGTTTTAATGTCAGTTCCTGTCCACCGGTCTGAACCTCTGCTTCATCACCAGGATTCACTGCGTCCTCTTGTTTTCAGACCACTAGAGTCAATCACTTCTCTCTCCTTCCGTCCCTCCCTCCCAGATCATAGACCCCAAGATGCAGAGGGCGGGGTGTCACCACAACGGGGTCTCCCTGCCCCCTCTGGACGTGCTCAGGGTCGGAGAGCTGATGCAGTACAGGTCCGAAGAGAAACTCTTCCTCGTCCACTTCTTCGACAACAAGCACAGCTGGTGAGATGACGCTCCCCCTCTATGGTTCGCCATTTGTATAATCTTCTAACTTGGCCAACAGTTTATTTTCAAGTTTAAGTGCCCAGGTTCAGGTTTTCTTGATTTCCAATGGTAGTCAGAGGTAATATGATGATGTAGCATAATGCAAACGCTACGTCACTTTATTTGACAGGCAATGGCTTCCTAGATCCAAGATGGTTCCCTTTGGTATCAATAAGACCGTGGACAAGATCAAACTGATGGAGGGCCGCTCCTCTGGCATCCGTAAAGCCGTACAGACCGCCTTCAAGCGCGCCACGAGCCACCTGAGCCAGGTCGGGGACGGGCTTAGCAGCGAGCCCTGCCATGTGGACTGAATCTGGTCATACACCCCCCTCATCTCTAGGGAGAGTCCATCCTTAACTCCTTTTCCTTGATATTCCACAGCAGCCCTGGTATTCCCCTCTCGTACACACCCCTCATTGTGTTTACGGTCTCCTCTAGTGGAGGAGCAGCCCAACGGTCTCTTGGTGCAGGTTTTCATTCCGCCTCACTGAGCTGCTCATGGGTAAACGGTTTGGGGATGACGCCACGCTGCGTATGCTCCATTTTAATCTATTCCATTCTAAATACTGTAGCTTGCAACATTCAAATGAATCAATGAGCTATGCAACTGGACTCAAGCAATTGGGTTTGCGGCTGCAAAAACCTTCATACGGAGTCCGAGGACCGACTTGTGAAAATCACTGGTCTAATGTGATGAATGTGCCGGAGTTGAGTCTCTGTCTTGTAATGTGCTGCAAGACTGCTGCAACCTTCACTCCCATCTCCTCTCTGCAGCAGCCCTGGATTTAACCCTGTAAATACCTGCACAAGGCCTGACACTAATTTATTCTGTTTTCAGTTATTATTGGTACTGCGTGTTCACTTTTGCTATTGATACTGCAGGGGTGATTCATGGCAGCACTATGGTGCATATTAAGTATTTGCTGGTGCTACAACCTGTGCAAGTCTAGGCTACAACCGACTCAACCAGGGAAAAATATATACTGTATTGATTGAACATTTATTTTAGTTTTTTTATTTCAGCTACTTTTTTTTAACGGTTTCTTAAGTTATCGAAGTTTATGGAAAAGCTTCTCTTGGCATTAATGTGTTTTTAAATACAATAATGGTTTTACGGGACTTGGTGTGTTTTTTTTTGTGTACATATTTATATAAATCTTTATACTTGTATACATCAGATGCTTTCAGTGTTTAAAAAGCTGAATGTGCATCATTCACACACAACCAAAAATCAGCTGCCCAGATTGTCATACATTTTAATTTTTTTTGCCTTGTGTGATCAGTGAATAACAACCTGCAAAACGTTGTCTTCGTACACAATGGTTTTGACTGTGTTACAGGGACCATGACCATGGGTGAATGTGCCTGTACTAATTTATTGTAAAAGAGAAATGTATATGCATTACTTTATATAGAAAGAGTCGTAAGAGATACTAATGGCTCACTAGGAGCCTGCCGTAGAGGCCCTTTTTGCATATTTTTTTTTATTTTTTACCTGAGGCATTAATCTTAAAGGTGGGAATAGAATCCATGACCTTTTATTCAGTTGGGAGGATCTGGGGTAGCAGTGGGTAGAATAATTTTTCTTTCTCCCAAAATACATTTTCGTATGGACGTTCTATAAATAGACTTACTAGTCTTATTCTCTGGGAAAATCACATTATAGCCAATGGAGTAGATGCTGGCAAAGTCCAGTATTTTTATAAAACACTGAAAATAAAAAAAATTATTAAATAACTGATTTGTGTTGTATGGATTTTGTGTTTGATGATATGAAAGGGAGACAATTACACAGACTGCCACAAGGTGGAGCTATGGCATGGCAAAAGTCTACTGCCAGAGATAATTTAATTTCAATTACGTTTACCAAGGGGCAGCGTGTAACAGGTCAGATCACAAGTCTAATGCCACCTACCACCTTCATCTAATACATGATAGTATAACCATGATCTAGATTAGAAGTTTCTGTCCAATGCTATCAAGTAGCCTACATGCCCATTTTCTTGGTAATTGCCTTACAAAACCACTAGTATTATAATAAACTTTGACATTGATCTTGTATGTTTATTTTCTTAAAATGACTGAACATAGCAAAAATAATGCCTTTCTTCAGAACTATATGTCAGTGCAGCACATAGTCCATGCATAAACAGTGGGCTTCTCACCGCCTACATCTCCCTCAATTGGATGCTAATTGTTTGGGGAGGAAGACTGCAATGAGCCGGAGAAAGTCAACTAACCGTGAAGATCAATCTCCCAGCATCAGCCTCATCAGAGAACTTTTCACTGAGCTAATTATCCGTTAGCTCGACATCAGTCCCTCTCGTGTGTGTGGCGGAGGGCTGTGAAATTACCTGAGAAAACCCCAGCAGTTGAGTCTGAGAATGTGTTATTTATGCATGCCACCTCATCACCATACTTGCACAACTAGCCTAATAAACACTTATGGCACATATCCACAAGACTTGGTCAAACAGTTCTTCAGAGAACCACCAAAGATATTTCTCAAAAAGACACGCTGCAAAAGTGACACATGAAACAGATGTGTGAAGGTTGGATAGTAGTGTAAGAAAGAGACCAGTCTTGAAAGGATGGCACTGGAGGCTGGAAGGTGTTGGTAGAGTGGAAGGAGTCATGGAAGGAGTATTGGTAGAGTGGAAGGAGTCTTGGTAGAGTGGAAGGAGTCTTGGTAGAGTGGAAGGAGTCTTGGTAGAGTGGAAGGAGTCTTGGTAGAGTGGAAGGAGTTGTGGTAGAGTGGAAGGAGTCTTGGCAAGTTGTGTATTTGCTTGCAAGGCTCCCAAAGAATGAAAATACAAAAACATTGTAAAACAAAATTAAGTATATTAACTTAAATCAAAGCTACATTGACAGCTGCTTTAAATAATGACAATGAACCCATCAAAACTTGTGCAGTATAAAAGCCCAGAAAGGCTACCTCACCAGATACCAAGAAGATAACACTGGCCCAAACTGATTCTTAATCTGAGACTTTCATAACTTTGCCAGATAGCTCTGCCCATACCTGGAAGATACCAAAGGCAGGTAATAATGCTTTGTTCGTAACCAAGTGGGAAGTGGGAATTAACACATACGACTGGGAAAAATCGACTTGACGGCCCTCCAACTGGTAATTACTAGTGGGAAACTATCATCCTGAGCTCCCACTTCTCCCACATGCTAACCTCTGACGTCACCTACTGAGGAAGTGACTTTGATAACAGCATTTTCGGCAGTTACAGTGGGGAAAAAAAGTATTTAGTCAGCCACCAATTGTGCAAGTTCTCCCACTTAAAAAGATGAGAGAGGCATGTAATTTTCATCATAGGTACACGTCAACTATGACAGACAAAATGAGAAAAAAATCCAGAAAATCACATTGTAGGGTTTTTAATGAATTTATTTGCAAATTATGGTGGAAAATAAGTATTTGGTCAATAACAAAAGTTTCTCAATACTTTGTTATATACCCTTTGTTGGCAATGACACAGGTCAACGTTTTCTGTAAGTCTTCACAAGGTTTTCACACACTGTTGCTGGTATTTTGGCCCATTCCTCCATGCAGATCTCCTCTAGAGCAGTGATGTTTTGGGGCTGTCGCTGGGCAACACGGACTTTCAACTCCCGCCAAAGATTTTCTATGGGGTTGAGATCTGGAGACTGGCTAGGCCACTCCAGGACCTTGAAATGCTTCTTACGAAGCCACTCCTTCGTTGCCCGGGCGGTGTGTTTGGGATCATTGTCATGCTGAAAGACCCAGCCACGTTTCATCTTCAATGCCCTTGCTGATGGAAGGAGGTTTTCACTCAAAATCTCACGATACATGGCCCCATTCATTCTTTCCTTTACACGGATCAGTCGTCCTGGTCCCTTTGCAGAAAAACAGCCCCAAAGCATGATGTTTCCACCCCCATGCTTCACAGTAGGTATGGTGTTCTTTGGATGCAACTCAGCATTCTTTGTCCTCCAAACACGACGAGTTGAGTTTTTACCAAAAAGTTGTATTTTGGTTTCATCTGACCATATGACATTCTCCCAATCCTCTTCTGGATCATCCAAATGCACTCTAGCAAACTTCAGACGGGCCTGGACATGTACTGGCTTAAGCAGGGGGACACATCTGGCACTGCAGGATTTGAGTTCCTGGTGGATGGTAGGCTTTGTTACTTTGGTCCCAGCTCTCTGCAGGTCATTCACTAGGTCCCCCCGTGTGGTTCTGGGATTTTTGCTCACCATTCTTGTGATCATTTTGACCCCACAGGGTGAGATCTTGCGTGGAGCCCCAAATCGAAGGAGATTATCAGTGGTCTTGTATGTCTTCCATCTCCTAATAATTGCTCCCACAGTTGATTTCTTCAAACCAAGCTGCTTACCTATTGCAGATTCAGTCTTCCCAGCCTGGTGCAGGTCTACAATTTTGTTTCTGGTGTCCTTTGACAGCTCTTTGGTCTTGGCCATAGTGGAGTTTGGAGTGTGACTGTTTGAGGTTGTGGACAGGTGTCTTTTATACTGATAACAAGTTCAAACAGGTGCCATTAATACAGGTAACGAGTGGAGGACAGAGGAGCCTCTTAAAGAAGAAGTTACAGGTCTGTGAGAGCCAGAAATGTTGCTTGTTTGTAGGTGACCAAATACTTATTTTCCACCATAATTTGCAAATAAATTCATTAAAAATCCTACAATGTGATTTTCTGGATTTTTTATTCTCAATTTGTCTGTCATAGTTGACGTGTACCTATGATGAAAATTACAGGCCTCTCTCATCTTTTTAAGTGGGAGAACTTGCACAATTGGTGGCTGACTAAATACTTTTCTTCCCCACTGTAAATGCAACAACAAAACATTCTTTATAAAAAGCAATCTATTAATATAGTTTTTGAACACTATCATTTGTTTACATTCATCATAGCTATACTTTTAGATTATTGTTTACGCAGCTTGTTGGCCATTTGTAATTATCTTTTACATTTTAAATATATATTTCATATTCATTATTCAATATAGAAATATGAGCTTTTATCACTGGCACTTTTATATACCACCACTCTCCAAGGACAACGTAGCGCCTGCACAGTGAAAAGGTGTTCAATCAGGCGGGTACATTCTCAGAAAAGTCCCCTAGCACCTGCAGCTCATAGAGACAGATAGACGACTCTAGTGCTCCATGGGCAGCGCCATTGAGGACTTTCACCATTTTGAAGTAGTCAACTGGGTGGGGCTTCCTATGGTTTAAGGAAGGATCACATGATTCCATCCAGGTCACCAGGTCACCAATCAGCCAATTAATTATATTTGTGAGCAAACATTCCATAACTGTAGGT